ATCAATTATGCATAGCTTTTTCTCCTGTCAGATTTTTTCTCATGCATTTTGGTGCTGTTTAAAGATGTGTTTACTTGTAACATTATATTTATCTGATGAATTGATGTTATAATTATTTCTGCTCATATTCCTTCATTGGAATGTGTTTTGTCTGATTTAATTAATACAGCCATACTAGCCTTCTTTCGTTGTATCTTTGTGTGATCTTTTCTCACCCTTTTACTTTTAACCTCTTTCTTACTTTAAATATGAAGTGTATTGTTTTTACATAAATCACTCAATTTACTTACACTTAGAAAAAAACCAGTTCACCCATTTTGTCTATCTCCCAACCCCCACCTCTAGCAACGACCAATCTGTTCTTTTTATCTATAAGCCTGAATTTGGTTTTCCTTGGGTGTTTTTTTTAGATTGCAAAGGGAGACCATAGGGTATTTGTCTTTCTCTGCCTTATTTCACTTAGTGTAATGCCCTTAAGGTCAGTCAGTGTTTACACAAATGGGAAGATTTCTTTTTTCTTTTAATATATATAGTGTATTGTATATATATACCACAATTTCTTTATCCATTGATGGACACTTACATTGTTTCCATATCTTGGCTAGTATAAACAACACTGAAATGAGCCCTGGCTGGTGTGGCTCTGTGGATTGAGCACCGGCCTGCAAACCAAAGGGTCCGCCGATTTGCATTGGGGGCCAGGTCCCTGGTTGGGGGCATGTGAGAGGCAACCAATTTATGTCTCTCATATGTCTACGTTTCCCTCTCTTTCTCTGTCCCTACCCATCTCTCTAAAATAAATAAATAAAATCTTTAAAAAATAATGCTGCGGTAAACATGAGGTGCATATATCTTTTCAAGTTATTGTTTTCATTTTCTTTGGATAAATACCCAGAAGTGGAATTGCTGGATCATATGGTAGTTCTGTTTTTAATGTTTTTGGTGTTTCTAGGAACCACCAAACTTCCATTGGTTGCACCAATTTACATTCCCACCAATAGTGCACAGGGGTTCCCTCTTCTCCACGTCCTCGCCAACACTTGTTATTTCTATTATGTCTTTTTGGTAATAGCCATTCTAACAGGTATGAAGTAATATCTAAAATGTCTTTCTTTTTTTTTTTTAATTTTTTTATTGATTATGCTGTTACAGTTGTTCTATTCCCCCTTTCATTCCCCTCCACCCTACCCCCCCATCCCCACCATTACCCCCCCTTTAGTTTATGACCATGTGTCTCAAGTCCTTTAGATTCTATATTTCCCATACTATTCTTGCCCCCCCTTCTATTTTCTATCTACTGTCTATGCTACTTATTTTCTGTACCTTCTCCCCCCTTCTCCTCCTCCCACTCCCCTGTTGCTAACCCTCCTTGAGATCTTCATTTCTATGTTTCCACTCCTGATCTAGCTGTCCTTTTAGTTTGATTTTGTTTTAGGTGTGGTTGTTAATAACTGTGAGTTTGCTGTCCTTTCACTGTTCATGTTTCTTTAACTTCTTTTTCTTAGATAAGTCCCTTTAACATTTCATATAATAAGGGCTTGGTGATGATGAACTCCTTGAATTTGATCTTATCTGAGAAGCACTTTATCTGTCCTTCCATTCTAAATGAAAGTTTTGCTGGATAGAGCAATCTTGGTTTTAGGTCTTTGGATTTCATCACATGGAAGACCTCTTTCTAGCCCCTTCTTGCCTGTAAGGTCTCTTTTGAGAAATCAGCTGACAGTCTGATGGGGACTCCTTTGTAGGTGACTGTCCCCTTATCTCTTGCTGCTTCTAGGATTCTCTCCTTCATTTTAATATTGGCTAATTTGATGATGTGCCTTGGTGTGTTCCTTCTTGGGTCCAACTTCTTTGGTACTCTCTTGAGCTTCCTGGATTTCCTGGAAGTCTATTTCCTTTGCCAGTTTGGGGAAATTCTCCTTTATTATTTGTTCAAATAAGTTTTCCACTTGTGGCTGTTCCTTTCCCCCTTCTGGTACCCCTATAATTCGGATGTTGGAGCGTTTAAAGATGTCCTGGAGGTTCCTAAGACTCTCCTCATTTCTTTGAATTCTTGCTTCTTGACTCTTTTCTGTTTGGCCATTATTTGCTTTCTTCTGGTCCTCTCCATTGATTTGAGTCCCAGTTTCCTTTTCATTGCTATTGGTGTCCTGTGCAATTCCATTCATTTCAATTAGTTTCGCCTTCATATATTTGTGTAATTTGTGGCTATAATCAACCAGTTCTGTGAGGATCCTGATGACCAATGTTTTAAACTGTGTGTCTGAGAGTTTTGCTATTTCTTCATCGCTTAGATCTATGGGCTCTGGGGCTTTGAGATCTTGCGACATTTTTGGTCTGTTCTAGCCCTTTAAGTGTGAGAAGCGGTGCCTTGGACTCCCAGGTCGCTGGGTTGTGATGCTGTATGTGGGGGCGTGGTCAGAGCAGGGAAATGGTGGTGCCCTCCACTGCTGCTTGCCACGGGGACCCGCCCGGCCCGGTCCAACAGCCCACTCACTCGCCCCTCTGCCACAGTCAACACGCAGGACCGCTCCCCCGATGTCTCCCCCACGGTCGCTCGCCTGGTGGCTTGCTCGGTCGCTCACTAGGTCCAACCCTGCGCCTGGATTCTGCACGTCTGGATTCCGCGCCTGAGTCCGGCTGACCGAGACCTCCTGCGCAATCCCGCTTCACCAGCCGCTGGTTTCGCCCCTTACCGGTCAGGCTGAAGAATTTGTTGTTAACGGACTTCCAAAAAGTTCAATTTTCCATGTTCTGGCTGTGTTTTGTGTTGCTAATATTTAGTTGTCTCTAAACTTGGTTGTGTGAGAAGGCACGGCACATCCACCTATGCCTCCATCTTGGCGGAAGTAAAAAATGTCTTTCTTATACAGCTTAAATATACAGGTTTTTTTCATCCAGGCTGTTTGCCTTTTACATGGTTTTTAGTCTTTTAATGTAATTACTGGTGGTGGTAGGTTAATTTTAATGATTTTGTTATTGAGTTTTTCCCTTCTCTTTTTGTATTTACTTTCCCCATCTTTTCCATTTTGTTTGACCTTTTAAGTGACATGAGTGTTTTTAGTTTATGATTTTATCTTCTTTTGTAACTTTCTGTAATAGCTCTGTTGCCTTTGTGGCATTTACTTTAGTGATTATAATGCCACATGGATTATAAGGTAGTAAAGTACCAGTGTCCCTTCACATGGTAGTTTACTACTTTAAGAACTAAGAACCATCACAGATTCCCATTTTACCTTCCCCCTGCCTTTTGATCTTGTTTTCGTAGATCCAGTTCTGTACCTGCTGTATACCCCATGATACATTATTGTTTTTGCTTGAAATAATCAATAGTTTTTAAGGAATAGAAGTGGGTATATCTGTGTGTGTGTGTGTCAAAAGGTCTTTTATATTTACTCACCTGTTGATATTTACCCTTTTGGTGCTCTACATTCCTTCATGCAGATGGAAATTTCCATCTGGTATTTATTTCCCTTCAATCTGAAGAACTTATTTTATTTATTTATTTTTTGGAGTGCAGATGTGTTGGAGACAGTCTCTGTTTACGTCTGTCTAAAAATGTATTTAATTTGAGCATGGGCCTGCAAACCAAAGTGTTGCTAGTTCAATTCCCAGTCAGGGCACATGCCTAAGTTGCAGGCCAGGTCCACAGTAGGGGGTGTGCGAGAAGCAACCACACATTGATGTTTCTCTTCCTCTCTTTCTCCCTTCCTCTCTCCCTCCTCTCTAAAAATAAATAAATAAAATCTTAAAACAAAATGTATTTATTAATATTTTCAAGGGACATTTTATTGGGTATAAATGTTTTTTTTTCCTTTCAGCACTGTTGAAAGTACTATTGTCTTATTGTTCCCAGTAGAAATTAGCTATCATTCTTATTGTTCTGTTTGAATATATGTGTGTTATTTATGTACTTCAGAGTGTATCTGTGTGTTTTAATTTATCTTGCCTGGAATTTGCTCAGCTTTTTGGATTTGTGGGTTGATGTCTTCATTAATTTTGGAAAATTTTTGGCCATTATATTCTAATATTTTTCTATCTTTCCTTCTTCTAGGACTCCAGTTAATTGTATTCTAGATTATTTGAAATTGTCTCCTGGTTTTTAATGCCTTTTTTCTTTTTCCTATTTTCCTCAAATATATAGATTTTTGTTGTTATTGTTTCCAGTCTACTGTTACCTTTTACTGAATAAAATTACTTGTTTCTGGTGTCACATTTCTGTTTCAGTCTCTTGTAGGTTCCATTTCTGTGCCAAATTCCTTATTTGTTTATTCCTTATTGTTCATATTTTCTACTGTATTCTTTTACATATATATTATTTGTATTTTAAAGTCTGATAATTCTGTCATCTTCTCTGTGGTTCTCCTTGTGTTGACTTGCCTTATGAGTTAAAAATTTTCTGCTTTTTTGCATATTTAACAACTTAAAAAAATTGTTTACCAGAAAAATTGTTTACCAGTGAAATAAATATTTATTTAGAAGGGTATGCTAATAGTGAGGGGGTGTGAGTCCATTTAATCTGCAGTTGAACTGAGTCTGGGCTTTGTGACCTTTTTAGTTAGATTCAGTCCCACATTGGCTTTAGTGCCTTCATCCAAACTTTGAATCAAGGATTGATAAGACTTCAGATATCTTACCATGCTTTACCACAGGAATGTCAAATTCATTTTCACCAGGGGAGAGGGGGTGGGCACATCAGCCTGGTGGTTGCCTTCAAAGGGCAGAATGTAATTTTAGGACTGTATAAATGTAGCTACTCCTGAAAAGTACAGGGCCGGATAAAACAAGGTGGAGGGCCAGATTCAGCCTACAGGCCTTGTGTTTGCCACTTGTGCTTTGTAGGCTTGCTACTAGTGTTGTGGACCTTTGGATTTTCTTTTTCTCTAATTTATTCCTGGTACCCTGCAAGAAAGAAACAAAGTTCACAAAGTGAGCTCTTAGGTTTGGGAATATGCCTTGTATGTGGTCCTGACTCACAGTTCTTTGTTTTCTTGCCCTAGGTATTCCTGGAGTGGAGAACCACTTTTTTTGACCTGTCCTACATCAGAAGTCACTGAGCTCCCAGCCTGCAGCCACTGTGGAGCCCAAAGGACGTTTGAATTTCAGCTCATGCCAGCGCTGGTCAGCATGCTGAGAAGTGCTAATTCAGGTAATAAGCCCTTCATTAATTTGAGTTTGTGAGTTTACAGCAGTAATTTGGAATTATTTTTAAATGAAAGACTATTTCATTTTGTTTACTTATAAAATATAAGCATATTATAGAAAATTTGGGAAATTGAAATTATTTTAAGGAAATTTATAATCCACCAATCTAATGAATGCACCAATAACATTTTGGTTGATTTAAGGCATGCCATTTTCTGTCATTAAAATTATTTTCATCATATTACTATATAATAAAAATTTATTACTATTTTTTACTTTTAAATATATATATTTTATTGATTATGCCATTATGGTTATCCCATTTCCATCCCCTTCATCCCCCTCCCCCTGCACACCCCCTCCCCCACCGTTCCCCTTCCTTTAGTTTATGTCCACATGTCACAAGTTCTTTAGCTTCTATGTTTCCCATGCTATTCTTGCCCTGCCCCCTGTCTATTTTTTACGTACAGTCTATGCTACTTATTCTCTGTACCTTCTCTCCCCTTCTCGTCCTTCCACTCCCCTGTTGCTAACCCTCCATGAGATCTTCATGTCTATGTTTTCACTCCTGATCTAGCTGTCCTTTTAGTTTGATTTTGTTTTAGGTGTGGTTGTTAATAACTGTGAGTTTGCTGTCCTTTCACTGTTCATATTTTTTATCTTCTTTTTCTTCGATAAGTCCCTTTAACATTTCATATAATAAGGGCTTGGTGATGATGAACTCCTTGAATTTGATCTTATCTGAGAAGCACTTTATCTGTCCTTCCATTCTAAATGAAAGCTCTGCTGGATAGAGCAAGCTTGGTTGTAAGTCTTTGAATTTCATGACTTGGAATACTTCTTTCCAGCCCCTTCTTGCCTGTATGGTCTCTTTTGAGAAATCAGCTAACAGTCTGATGGGAACTCCTTTGTAGGTGACTATCCCCTTATTTCTTGCTGCTTCTAGGATTCTCTCCTTTATTTTAATCTTGGCTAATGTAATGATGATGTGCCTTGGTGTGTTCCTTCTTGGGTCCAACTTCTTTGGGACTCTCTGAGCTTCCTGGATTTCCTGGAAGTCTATTTCCTTTGCCAGATTGGGGAAATTCTCCTTTATTATTTGTTCAAATAAGTTTTCTACTTGTTGCTGTGCCTTTCCCCCTTCTGGTACCCCTATAATTCGGATATTGGAGCATTTAAAGATGTCCTGGAGGTTCCTAAGCCTCTCATGCATTTGAATTCTTGTTTCTTCATTCTTTTTTGTTCGGTCGTTTTTTTTCTTCCTTCTGGTCCACTCCCTTGATTTGAGTCCCAGTTTTCTTTCCATCGCTATTGGTTTCTTGTACATTTCCCTTCATTTCACTTAGTTCAGCGTTCATATGTTCCTCTAATTTGTGACTAAAATCAACCAGTTCTGTGAGCATCCTGATCACCAGTGTTTTGAACTGTGCATCTGATAGGTTGGCTATTTCTTGGTTGCTTAGAATTACTGGCTCTGGGGCTTTGAGCTGTTCTGGAGCCATAATGTTTTGGTCTGTTTGCTCTGGTTAAGCATGAGGGGCGGAGCCTTAGGTGTTCACCAGGGCTGGGTGACCCAGTTGCTGGGTTGTGATGCTGTATGTGGGGGCAGGGTCAAAGAGGGGCAATGGCGTTTGTACTCTCTCGGATTTTGGTCCCCTCTGCTACATCCCGCAAACAGATTGGGCCCTTCTGGTGCTGGTTCCCAATTGTGTGGGTTTGTGCTCCCTCCAGTACCCTGTGGGTCTCTCCAAAGGACTCTGTGATCCTGGATCTTCTCCTGGCACCTCGACCCCAAAAGTTTTTCCAATTGGTGCTCTTAGGCTTTATTTCCTGGCGCTGGGTCCCTGGTTTGTTCAGTTTGTCTCACTGCTTGCTGCTTTGCCTGGTTTATCTGTGCATGAATGTGTGACCTCGGTCAGCCAGCTGCCTTGCACCTGGGTTGGTCTGGCCACTTTCTCCTCCATGACCCTGCTCTGCCCACCGCTGTCTCTGCCCCTCTTCCTGGTCAGGCTGAATGGTTTGTTGACTTTTGTAGAGTTCAGTTTTCTGTGTTTTGGTTGTGTTTTTGTTACTAAAACTTTGTTGTCTTTAAACTTGGTTGTGCAAGGAGGCACAGTGTTTCTACCTACGCCTCCATCTTGGCCAGAAGTCCTGTTAGATTTTTTTTTAATAAGCCTGCCGAACTGCTTTCTAAAATGTTTGTACTCCTTACATGTCAACCAGCCATACATGACAGTTGCACATTCTTGATACCACTTTATATGTTGTTTTTTTTTTTTTTAATTTTAGCCAGTTTCACAGTTGTGGATGTTTCAAGGTTTTTTCCTGTATTTCTCTTTTTAACTGCTGATGATTTTGAGCATCTTTTCATACCACCATATGTTTTCTTTGATGAAGTGCCTGTTCTGATCATTTGTTTCTTTAAAAATGGGGTTGTTTCTTTACTTATTGAATTCTTGAGAGTTTTATGTATATTCTGGATACAGGTCCTTTATCTGATCATTATCCTCTTTACATAATCAATGAATATTTTTCCAAGACTGTGGCTTGCCTTTTTTATTTGTTTTTTTGGAACAGACTCAATATTTTTAGAAGCTTTACATTAATATGCTACTTTTGTTCGAATTAATGAACCAATGTTAATGTATCATTATTAACTAAAATGCATAGTTTATTTCGATTTGCTTAGTTTTTACCTAATGCCCAAGATCCCATCCTGGATGCTGCATTGCGTTTAGTTGTTATGTCTCTTGCCTATCGTGGATTTTAGACTTTCTGTATTTTGGGTGACTTCAACAGATTTGGGGAGTACTGGTCACTTACTTTGTAGGTGACCACCTGCTCCTACACCTAAACCTACTTTGTAGGACCCTCTATTAGAACTTGTCTGATGTTTTCACTTGTGATTAGAATGGGGCTGTGTTTGCTGAGAGGAATATCCCAGAAGTAAAGTACCATTTTCCTCCTGGCACATATGTCACAGGTGTATGCTGTAAACATGATTTATGACTGGTGATGTTGGCCTTGGTCACCTGGCTAAGGCAGTGTTTATCAGGTTTCTCCACTGGAAAGCCCCTCCTTTTTCTCTCCTTTAATAATATATTAGCTCGTCTTTTGATTTTCTAATCTGTGTCCTCAAAAAGTAGAAAATTTTTTGTTAACTAAAAAAGATTTTTTTTTGCCCTGGCTGGTGTGGCTCACCGCGACCCTTTAATTCCAGCCTGTGAATCAAAGGGTCGCCGGTTTGATTCCCAGTCAGGGAACATGCCTGGGAACATGCAGGCCAAGTCCCCAGGTGGGGGCACATGAGAGATAAGCACACACTGATGTGTCTCTCCCTCTCTTTTCCCCTCCCTTTCTCTCTCTCTCTCTCTCTCAAAAATAAATAAATAAATAAATAAATAATATTTTTTTAAAAAAAACAGACTTTTTAAGGCAGGATCAGAAACATCAGTGTGAGAAACATTGATTGGTTGGTTCCATCTTGTACAGGCCCCAACTGGGGACCAAACCCACCGCCCAGGCACATGCCCTGAGCAGAAATCAAACCTGCGACCTTTCATTTTGTCAACCACATGCCCAAGCAACTGAGCCATACCAATCAGGGCTCAAAAAGTAGAAGTTTTATTTTAAAGGACAATTTATCATTTTTTTTCTAGTGTGGATCATGCTCTTGATGTTTGGTCCAAGAAATATTTGTCTAAACCAAGGATGCAAAGATCATCTGCCAGGTTTTCTTTTAGTTTTAAATTTTACATTTAGATTTATATCCATTTTGAATTAACTTTTATGGTGTGAAGTGTGAATCACAGTTCATTCTCTTTGTATGAATAACCAGTTGTTTTCAGTACCGTTTATTGATAAAGCTGTCTTTTGTCTGCTGAATTGTCTTCTCACCTTTGTTGGAAATTGGTTGTCCATATACGTGTGAATTTACTTCTGCCCTTTGTAGTCTGCATTCTGTTTCATTAATCTGTTTTCTCTCTCAACACCACCGCCACAACTATCTTGATTACTGTAGCTTTATAATAAGACTTGTAATCTGGTAGAGTTAGTCTTTCGGCTTTATTTTTCCTTTTCAAAGATGTTTTGACTCTTATGGGTCCTTTGCATTTCTATGTATATGTATTTTAGAATGTGATGGTCAATTTCCTTAAATGACTTTCTGGGATTTTTATTGGGATTGTAGTTTGGAGAAAACTGATATCTCAACATGTGCATATCTCAACACTGGGGAGTGGGAGGGGGAGAAAGGGGAAAAGGTATAGAGATAAGTGGCATAAATGGTAGGTGGAAAATAGGGGGAGGGTAAGAAAAGTATGGGAAATGTAGAACCTAAGGAACTCATAAGTATGATACATGATCGTGAACTAAAGTGGGGGAATGTGAGTGGGAGGGGGTGTGCAGGTCGGAGGGGAGTGAAGGGGGAAAAATGGGACAACTGTAATAGCGTACTCAATATATTTTTTAAAAAGAAGAGTTGATAGTTATTCCTCTTTAAATGTTTTTTGTAATATTTACTAGTTAAATTATCTAGTCCTTGGATTTTCTTTCTTGGGAAGTTTTTGATTACTGAGTCAGTCTCCTTATTAGTTATAGGTGTATTCAAATTTTCTTGAGACAATTTTGGTAGACCGTATGTTTCTAAGAGTTTGTCCATTTCATTTAGGTTATCCAATTTGTCAGTATACAATTGCTCATAGTATTTTTTAAAAATATTTCATTGATTATGCCATTACAGTTGTCCTGTTTGCCCCCCTTCATTCCCCTCCACCCTGTACCCCTGCAGACCCCTCCCCCACCATTCTCTCCCTTTCATTTATGTCCATGTGTCACAAGTTCTTTAGATGCTATATTTCCCATACTATTCTTGTCCTCTCCCCTATCTATTTTCTACCTACCATCTATGTTACTTATTCTCTGTACCTTCTCCCCCCTTCTCCTCCTCCTACTCACCCTGTTGCTAACTCTCCATGTGATCTCCATTTCTATTGTTCCTCTCCT